TGAGGAGCCAGCAGACCGCCCCCATCCCCATGGAGCAGTGCTTACAGTAGTGGCCGGGGTGCATGGGGGGGTGGTGCTGCAGGTGCCCGTTCTGGTGGTGCGGGATGCTGGGCGTGTAGGCGGCCGTCCGGCTCCCCGTCCACGTGGTCGTGCTGTCTGCAAAGACAAAGGGGCCGTGATTGCTACGGGAGCCCTCCYGCACGGCCCTGCTCATCCTCTATCGGTCCTGAAGGTTCGGAAAGCTTTTTGGGAGGCTGGAGGAGTGCGCAGACGGGGGATACTCACTGTGGTGGTAAGTGGCYGGCTGAGCCGTAAAGCCATTCTGCTGAGCTCCTGGCTGGGGCCCTGCCGCAATCTGTAAGAGTCCATCACTATGGCTACCTGTCAATATACTGGGAGGTTGACCTGGTAAAAGAACACACTACCTATTCATGAGCGTTCCAAAACTTTAGTGAAGAAGAGCTCAGCACTACCGGGGAGGGAAACACACCCCGCTAAGGGTACTGCACTACACAGCTCCCACAGCTTCCGTTTCACAACTTTTTTCCACCCTCCACAGTGTCTCAGGAAACTGGAAGCAAARTGCTCTGCACGGGGTAATTTTGACTGTGACACCCTCAACATTTCAGAAGYAGCAGCACGCAGAGAACTCTGCTTATGAACCTTGTTTTTGATTTGGTCACATCAAAAGGAAAGCAGAAGAGATGCCACAGTTTTCACTGGGTAACATGTCTGGAATGGGTTTGGTGTGGATCCAAACAGGCCAACAGCAGGTCCAATAAAGCTGCTTGTTTYCACCTTGTTTTAACTACTGTTCCTAAGGAGGATGTTCACTAAAATTCACGTTCCTCCAAAACATTCTGAAACGCGTTTTGTTTTCATAAACACTGCTTCAACAGAGCTGCATACATCCCTGGACTCACAAAGTCCTTGGGTATTTTTTTCTTTTTTTTTCTCCTTTTTTAATAATTTTTTTTCTCCTTTTTTAATAGTTTTTTTTCTAAAATATTTTTTCCTCGCATGTAAATATTTCAAGAATTTCCTACCATTAAAACCATAGATATTTTACAACAGGTTAACAGAATCCAACTTCAAAAGGCTTCAGCTCAGCTATTAAAACTAAACTTATCAACAGTTTCACAATTACACTTGCACTCTCAAACTGGTCTGGCCAGCAGGATTTAACACATTGCAAGCTTGAATTAAAACATAAAAATGAACTTTTTTTTTTTATGCCCACTTGGCTCCAACGATTATAGCACTGATAAGAAAAAAAGAATGCCTATGAACTGTGGTGCAAAGGCACTCCAATTAACTATTTCCATCCTTTTTATCTCTGCTGAGACAAATACAGACACAGTGTTTCAGCTCGGGCAAACCATCATTCCTTTTAGCCAAAAAGTGGCCAGCTAAAATTAACAAACATTATTAAAACACTGTGCCGCCGTAATTAAGATCTGCTAATGACACTAACGATGTTCACACATGTTTCATGTGGCAGCCCTCCATCGTTTGTGGTTTTCTTTGTGCTGTAGGACATGGGGGCGGCTGTGGTGTCGGTCACCAAACTCCTCCAACTTGTACCAGACACGCACAGAAAAGAAAAAAAATCTTCAAGGCAGCGCTCCAACAGACTTGAGAAAATATTAACAGGGGCTGTCATTCTGGTAGCACACAGAGCCATTGTAAAAATAATTAGCTTAAAACTGGAAGAGTGAAGAATTGCCTAAAAATCTCTTGATACCGCCACCTGACAGTATATTCTGTCAGCTGTGTATGTTGTTCTGCTTGCTGTCGCAATAAAACAATGAAATCCTTCCATTTCTACAGCAATTATCAAATAACAGCCACAACGCTCTGCTAGAGGTCAGCTGTTGTCACATTTTGCCACCGACCCTTGGGCACGGCCAGAACAGCCTGTAACACAGACACAGCGGGGAGAAAGGCCGGGCAAGCAGGGCATGGCACTGCAGTGACATTCCCAATTAAGCCCTGATGATAATTAACGCTCAGGAGCCTGCCTGGATCATTATCACAGCCCCTATGGCGCAGGGCAGCGCCGATCCCGATCCCATCTGTCCCGCACACAGAGACAGACGGAGATTCCCTTACTTGTGGAGGCCACGGGAATGTTGGGGAAGTTGGTGGTGCTGGTGGTGCTGGCCTCGGCCGGAGCCAGCATGGCCGGAGCGCTGTAGGGCTCGCTGGACGCGCGGTTGCTGGGCGGGTGCTGGATGGTCTGCACCGAGTGACCCTCGGCCGACGACAGCGACGGCTGCCCCTCGTAGTCGTGCACGTACTCGTCCTTCACCAGCATGCTGGAGGG